ACCACCTTGCGTCACATACAAATGAATTTTGAGGGACGCAAACGCTGTTGACCTAACTTTTTAAAGCATTTGATCAAGTGTGACAATATTTCTAGAAGATATTTTTCAAAGACAGAATTACCTGTTGTCAGAATTTTATGATATTCACGATGAATGAACAATATGAAACCTAGAATTTATTTCTGGAACTACAGAAAAATGAGGATGTTTACAGTTGAGGAGACTGCAAGGGAGAGTATGTGATGATTTCTGAATGATTTCTATATCACAATTGTATGAGAAAGCTGGCTTCTCTGGAGTTTACAGAAAGATGTAGTACTTGAAATTATTGATAAGATTAAATGGCATAGAATATTTTTTTCTGTAATGAACAATAGGAAAAGATTGATCCAGGATAATTTGGTAAAACTTTGTGGCCTATATCACCTTCTCCACTGCTTGGTGGAGAAACCAAAGTGTAGGGTTCTTACTATAAAAATCCTAAAAGCAAATACTAGTAGGTAGCAAAGGGAAAGGCTCATTAAAGTCTTTATAATTACCAACTGCAGGAGCATAATTTTACCTACCAAGTAGGTGACAGTGGCAAATTTGAGTGCTCAGAGTTAGGCTTCTATCTGTGCTTCAGCCTGGTTCGCAAAGCTGCCTCACACTTCCAGCTCCTATTAGTTTCAGTGTGATTTTGTGGAGAGTTAGCACTTTTGAAAAAATCAGGCCATGTATATTTAGGCCTGAAAAAATAGATTTAGAAAACTTCTAAGAGAGCAGATTCAAACATTTTGCCTTCCCTAACAAAGGAAGCAAACAGCAGCAGCAGCAGCTCCCCAAAGGGGAGGCACCAAAGCCCTTCTCTTGGGACAAGGACAATGATTCAGGATCTGTCCACACAGAGCTTTGCAGTGGTAGCCAAGTTCACTCTCCTCTGCCTCAAGGACAACAGATACAAGCCAGCTCTTATGCAAAAGTGTGTTCCCTGTAGAGGCATTAAAATGTCATGGTGCTTTAGCCAGTAAGGACAGCCAGCTGCCCACCCACTCAGGGTTCATGCTGGCAGGACTACAGAGCTTCAGCTGGCTCAGAATAAGGATAGGTGACTGGCTTGGGCATAATATTCATTGCCTGGTTCAATCCTTGCCTTTCTTTAGAAGAACAGAATCGTTTCTCATTTAGGGAGTCAAATTTGTTTCAGAACAAGCTCAACAGAAGTGGGAGAGATAAAAGTCCAAGAGAACACAAGAAATAAAGCATCTTTTCTAACCTCTCATCAAAAGATGGTTCTTATGCAGAAAAAAAAACAACCAAAGACACCTACATATAAAGTACTTGGTTTATCTTTGGTTATTGTGCCAAATGACCAGGCAGCTCTTACTTTAACACCAGCTGAAATTGCTTATCTGCATTCAGGGCTTTAAAATACACCATTGGTCACTGAAATGATTATACTGTACTTTGTCCCTAATTCTACCTTTGAAGGAGTAGCAATGCTTGAAGGACCAATGTATGCTGTTGGTGGCCACGATGGATGGAGTTACCTTAACACCGTGGAAAGATGGGACCCCCAAGCACGGCAATGGAATTATGTTGCCAGCATGTCAACCCCCAGAAGCACCGTAGGGGTTGCAGCATTGAACAGCAAGTATGTCAACAGGAAAAACCTTCTTTGGTTTCTCATTTGCTTCCTTCCTTGGAAATAGAGCTTCCCTGCTCACTTAAATTCCAGAGAAAGAGAAGGATAAAGAGCAGAGACAAAGATATCAGCAAGTGGGTATTTACAAAGATTCTTCACATACAGCTCAGGGTTTTTTTCATTCAAAGATGACATGATTTTAGTCACTAACTCAAAAGCCCAACAGAGGCAGACCTGCCTGCTCAAGTCCCTCTTGGATCTTAGAGGAAATGTTCTCAGCATAAACTTCACCAGAAGCTCCTGTTGGTACCTTCCCCAGTGACCTGCAGGAAACCACTTTGTCAAAGAGGAAACCCAGCCTGATCCCGAGTCTGTTCTCAGCCACTCCTGATAGAAGCTGTCTCCAGCCTGGCTTAAGTCATGTCTGTTAGTCTAGTGATGTCATTTCTGGCATATCAGGGGAAGCTGAGATCAAATGTCCATCGTTCAGTGCTACTGCTGCAGTCTGACCAAGCAGAATGCTGCTGCTTTTCCTGTCTCCCTAAGTCATGTCATATTTTTCTTTTTCTATTCAGCCCCACCAAAAAAGACCTGAAAATTCTGTGGAGCAACACCTTTTGACCAATAAATGGCCTATTGACAAGATCAGTCAATATCAGTGTATTTTTTCTTATCCACAGAAAATGGGAAACACAATCACGTTTCTAGCCACGTTACAGAAAACAAAAAAGTCCCAACCAATCTGTTTGTGTATACAGAGATTTCCTCTCTGGGAAAGCTGTGTAAACAAGTAGTCTGTATCTAACACCAGGATCTGAAAACAAATCAAAATCTTAGGTTGTTTATGGGTCAAGCAACAAACAGCACAACTGAACTCAATGCTGCCTGCCATTCACAAACCTCAGGAGAGAGCTAGAAATTTTGCATTATTCTAACAGCAGGCAAGAATATCCTAGTTATATTATAAATAGAATTATATGCATGTATTATATGCATATATAGTTATATCATACATCAGAGCAGGCTAAAAATTTTTCCAGTCACAGGCAAAATTCAACTAGTTTGTTTTAGGTGACTATGGACAAGTTCCTGTGTTCCCCAGGTCATTAATTAGTTGCATTAAGTAAATTCAATCTCATGGCAGTATAGTAATAGTCAGGATTTGAAAGGGACCTGAACTATTGGCAGACTCAGCATCTAAACACCTCTGCTATCCATCTAGTAGGCAGGTTATCATAGCCTAGAAGCAGCCACGTCAGCTTGAAATAGAAAAGAAATTCAGGCTTTGTAGAATTCATAGGAAAAAAAGCCACATCCCCTCACTATGCTTCTTGAGGTGGATTTCCACATGTTGTCTCAACATCAGCTGGTTTAAATCTCTAGTTGCTTGCTAAGTGAACAGACAAGATGTCATACCTGTATGGTAACTTCTGCCCAGCAGATTTTCTTTCTTACAAATATTGAAGAAAATTTATTTAATTTATGATGATATTATTGAAATTCTTTTACATATTAACAGTACAGGAAAAATGTTTAATGCTTTACTAAGGTGTCAAATACTCCTTAAGCCTGCCTTAGAGAATACTAACCACACATTTCAAACATATAGAGCATCTTTCAATTAAATACCATCTATACCTCACATTTAAAGAAGCTGAGATGCATTTTAAAGTTAATTTTCATATGTGATTGCTTGAAACTACACTGCAAATGAAGACTATTAACTTCGTTCCCATAGCATGCAAAAACCCTTGTGCAAAGAAACTTCCAGAGTGTAGCTGCCAGAGTGGCCTATTGACAACTTTAAAGTGGTCTGAATGAAGTTAACCAAATAAAACTCCTATTAAAATGGCTAAAGACTCAAACTGTTCCCCTTCTTGTGGGCAATCATTCCAGGCTGTATGCCGTTGGTGGGCGAGATGGGAGCTCCTGCCTGAAGTCAATGGAGTGTTTTGATCCACACACAAACAAGTGGAGCCTGTGTGCTCCCATGTCCAAGAGAAGAGGTGGCGTTGGGGTGGCAACCTACAATGGGTTCCTGTATGCCGTGGGGGGGCACGATGCCCCTGCCTCCAACCACTGCTCTCGCCTCTCCGACTGCGTGGAGAGGTAAGCAAGCCTGGGTCTCTTGTCTCTCTCTCTTTTTTAATATTTCAGGAAGGAAATATAAAATAATTTCTAGCAGCAAGGGAGAAATCTCTTCACAATCGGACTGTTACAGTTGTTGTTGTGGTTTGAGGCTTGGAAGGGGGGCGTGACCTTCCAGCAACGGGGAGGACCCCGGGTGGGGGTGAAACCATTGTATTCCCTCCCCTTCCCACACACACTCTGATAAGAGGCAGGAAGTGGGTTCTAATTTCACTCCTGCCTTGGAGCTCGGAGAGGGAGGTTGTCCTTTCACTCTGTGGGACCCTGGAACCATTTCTGAGAGTTTTGTATATTTTATTTTTTGTATTTTTCCCCTAATCTTTGTATATATTATTTTCCTTACCTCCCTTTTTCATTTTCTGTTCCTTGTTAAACAATATACTTCATTTTTTTTCCCAAAGTCTCTCTCTCTCTCTCGGGGGGGGGAGAGGCGAGTACATAGTTCTGTTCCATGTGGGCCCTGCCCTGAACCCCTTTTTACACGGAACCAGGACAGCTGTAAATATAGATCTTTTTAAAATACAGTTGTGGGCAGAACAACTGATTTCCAAAGCTCCTGTGATAAACCAACCCATAGGAGCAAATTCCTCCCAGCTTCACCTTCTGCCCAGGAGCCAGGTAAAGATAAGTCAAATTCAACATGTGACCTTTCTGTTTCTCAAGTACCAAACCCCAGGTTTGGGCTACTTGTGTCATATATTGTAGGAACTAAATACTTCTCAGTTGTGTCTTCTGCCAACAGTTTGGCTGATATCTGTTACATTTTTAATCTTTTGGTCAGTATCACATACTCAAACAGGCAATAATCATTACTACACAGGTACTTATTGATAGAGGAGACTGATAGAAAGAGCCTTATTTCTGTAAGAAATTATATTCCTATAGGAAATCAGGCTAAAACGTATGCTAAAGGGTCTAGTTTAGCAAGCCAAAAAAAAGTACATATGCACCAAAGCAAACTACTTTAGCTTGAATTCACACTTTAAATAAGACATTAATACATTGGCCTAATGCTGTTGGCAGCACACAACTGTAAGCAGTGAAATCTTGACTTTATATCCACTTCTCAAAGTAATTACCTTTTAAAAGGAATATTGCTTATTCAGTCCTCATTCAACTACACTTTTGCATTCTCTACTGATGATCACAGTTCTTAAAGCGAAAATTTTGGTCATTTCTTTTGTCAGAAGCAGAGGCGTTGTGTGTCAGAGACTGCCTTGCCACTCTGGTGGCATGTGGCACAGTGTAGGAGGAGAGGAGAACACTCAAGCTGTGGGTGAGAAGGGAACATAATGAGTGGGGACAACTCTGGCTGTTTAGTGAGTCATTGACAAGTTTGTTCCTTGACGTTCTTGTGTCACCTGGGGACAAGAAAGGAAAACTAAGCAAGAATTCAGCTCCCTGCGGTGGATAACAATGGCTTCATTGTGTTCTGGGATAGTGTAAAGCTGGGATTCACTTGAATTTAGATTGGAAAATGAGTATGTCTAGAAAATAAAAGCAGCAGTGATGTAAAAGACTGCCATACATTTTGTGTTACGAAACTTCTATCCACTATGTGAAATGTTTAACTTCGTTACAGTGAAGTTTCTGAAAACATTAATTCTGACAAGAAGGAAAAAAAAAAAATCTTTCTATAGGAAGAAGTAAAAACACATAGAAATTAACTTTGCTGAGTCAGCTGATGGCTATGCTATCATTCCCTCAGGCCTCATTTATCTTTAAAATATACTGGTTGTTTAATCTGATAGAAACAGAGAGACTGTAACCAAAAAGTGAAAATATGGGTATTTCTCCTGTGCTTGAAGACCCCTCTAGTGGCTAAATTAAACATTTCACCACACCACTCACAATCCTCTATACTAGCTCATGGTGCACACAGAGCTACATTATAGGAGAAAACAAGCAAATATCAATAATTTAAATCTGAGATGCGCTTCTACAATTTATTTTTCCAAACTTGATCCTAAACCATCCCAGGTATGACCCTAAAACAGACGCTTGGACAACAGTGGCCCCCCTGAGCGTGCCTCGGGATGCTGTTGGGATTTGCCCTTTGGGGGACAGGCTGTATGCTGTTGGGGGTTACGATGGCCACACCTACCTGGACACCGTGGAGTCCTACGATGCTCAAAATAACGAGTGGACAGAGGTAACAGGAAGAATTGCCTAATAAATAATAGAAAGATAGGAAGAATTCTGTCTAGGTAATGGACAAAGAAAAAGGATTATGTTGTAAAATTATCACTGGTTTTGTGAAAAATTATATATTAGGATGCAGGAATACTGCAGTTGGACTTGTATAAAATACTAGTTGCCTCTCCTGTGAGATAATTATATATATTTTTCAGATGAAAGGGTGGAGTAAGGGCATGGGCAAGTGAAGGAGGTTGAGATAATCATTTAGTGCCTGAAGTGCTTGTTTGCAGCTGTTAGACCCAGCATGTGTTTGTCAGTGATGCCCTCTACTGGGACAATTTCAAGCGTTCATGTTTATGATCATCATTGTTGAGACCAAGAGGAAATATTTAGAAGTGTTAAGATCCTTTTGTAGCTACACAGTCCCTGTTTCTGGAACATGGGATATGAAGGGCTCTGAGAAAAGTTAAGGGCAACATCAGCCCACACTCCCATAACTCTCAGCACCTGCCAAAGCCTTTTCCCCAAAAAGCCAAAATTCTGGTTTAGAGCACTAGTTAAATCTAATTTAGTCAAACTGATGTCCTTTTAAAAAAAAAACAAAACAAAACGAAACAAAAAAACCCCAAAACCAAAAAACCAAATAGCTTTCATTTTAATCTGTAAGTAATTTCTCCTACTTCAATCCACAGCAGACTACTAAAAGCGTTTCCTCCTCTTTTCTTTTCTTCTCATTTTTTAGGAAGTTCCTGTCAATATTGGAAGGGCTGGAGCCTGTGTTGTTGTTGTGAAGCTGCCCTGAGGACTGTCAATACTGTGACTCTAAACCAAGTGGAGATTCATGAAGACTGAGTCATGAAAATAGGAAACATTGCCACGAAGCAGTACAGACTATACCCATCCTAGCAGCTCTCCATTACAGAGAACATTTATCTCTGAGCCATTATATTATTAGAGTGGCACAAAAGTGTCTTCCCACACTAAAAAAGTCAGATAACTTTGCCTAAATGAATTATTTTATTATGCCTGATAGATAGAAATTCAATAATATGTTTAAATGGTTCAGGTTTGTTACAGAAGTGTATCTGTTATTTATAAAATGCAGCAGTAAAGTGTTAAATGGGTGTATAAGATTTCATAAACTTTTTTCTTTTCTATGTTGGCAGTACTGCTGATGTTTATAAAAAGAGCTTTTATATTTAAAGTAAATGAAAATGAATAAGAGACAAACACCTTCCACAGAGAACTGCACAGAAGGAAATCTTTGCTGTCAGGTATTGCTGGCAGCAGAATATTCTCTGTAGAGGTAACTTCATTTCTATATTCAGAAATTAAATCATGAAATTAACTTTAAAAGCAAGTCAGAGAAGCATAGAATTTGGTTGCTATTGAACCTCCAGCATTGCCTGTACTGTGACAGAATACTCCTCTTTAGCAGCGTATTAAATTGAATAGTGCAAGTTAAGAAACAGTAGAGCTAAGGAATCTTTATGTTATGAAGTATGTGCCAAGAGACAGAAATCTCTTTTGTCAAAACACAATGCTAATATATTTTGCAATCATTTTGACAGTGCATAGATATGTGATATTTTATTGCTGATCCTTGTGTCAGGTTATTCCTGGGTTTGTCTTTGCCCACTAACCATCTGTCAGAAGATGTTAAACTCATTTGACTCTTCCTGGGATAATCACCGTGCATTCAATTTTAAACCAATTGTACAATTACATTCCTTGAACATAACTTACAGAATGAAAGTTTTATATCATATTGATATGACAATCTTTGACCTCAGCTGAAGATTACCAGCTTCCTCTCGTGTACAGTAGAAATACGGTAAGGACAAAACCACATCCACTGTGTAGCACTACAGTCCCTTTATGTAGGCATGTTTGTCTTTTATTTGCAGTTAAGGGAGTATTAAGAATAAAGAACAAACACAAAAAGAATCACCTAAAACCAGCACATAATATTACAAATGCATGACATTTTCTTTTTGTGTGCCACTTTCTGGTCGAGTTAATGATTTGTTTCACATTTTCTTTTTTTAAAATAACTTCAAATGCTGAAAGTGTATTTTAGAAGAAGAATGTATGTAAGATATTCTATGCTGTAAAGCACAATATTTGGACAATATCTACTTCAGTGTTTGTCATGTTGTTGTTTTGTCAGTATCAGAGAGATGAAGATTCTCTGAACACGTAGACTAACTTTCCTGATAGAATACTGTGTTTTCAGGATTCAGCAATATGCTATTTTAAAAAATTTATAGTATTAATCTTATTGAATGCTTCTAAAGATAAAACCTAATCAGCATATTTATAAAAGGAAAAACATTTTTAACTTTAAAAATCAATTATGTTTATATATAGCATGCTACATTCAAATAAAGTTTACTTTCTCTGCTAAAGGAAATTTAGACTATATTTTAACAACTTCATGGGTTTTATTTTATATCTTTTCAAGAACAGGTAACACAGAAGTATTGATTTCATGTCTGTACTCTAAAAGAGCAAAAGAACCTATTTTAATGCTCTTACTGCCTCTGGTCACAAACTAAGTTTATCTAAAATCAGCTGCTAGAAGGAAGGTAAAGCTCTTTCTTTCTCTGAGTCAGAACAAGTTGCCAATATTGCCACATCAGGATGCCCTATGGCAGGGGCTCACACCCCCCAGGCCTTGGCAACCTGAGAAATCACACTGCAGTTTAGGATTATTTCTTTTGGGGCCAGTACACGAGTCTGCCCCACAACCTAGTAGTTTGTTATCTTAGAATTACCTTCATTTAGCTGTGAATTTCCAGATCAACACACAAATCTCTTGCTGGCTTGGTGCACCAGGAAACAAACTTTATTTCATAACTATTTTCACTTTGTAACTGTTTTTGTGCAGGAAAAGAAACCAACACAAAACTCCCCTGCAAACCCACAACAACATGAAGAGTCAAGCAAATGGAGAACAAACCTTAAACTAGCTAGTGGCTCCCAAGTTAGAGAACAGACATCAGAGGAGGAAGGTATCCGTATTTCCCACCAAATCAATAATCTGAAGCAAACAAAAAGGGGGCAAAACCAGCAAGCTTGACACTGAATTGGCTTCATAAGATATTTACAAATGTGAGGTAGATGCTAATTTTCCCAATCTCTCTCCACACCCTGTCCTATAAGGAACCTGTCTGACCACCTACCTAGAACATCTTTTTGCAGCAAACAGGAACTTTTAAACATTAACAATAAATACTAATATTTTTGCTCAATTGATTGCCATCCCTGTTTTGGTCATGCAACAGCCATGTGCATTCCTTCATACCAACAAAGACCTGTGGGGATCAGAGAGAGAGGGTCCCTATTGCTTATCATTCCAGCTCTAAATCATGCTTTTCTCATGTTCTATAACAGCACATGACTCTTTCCAGTAACCTGTATGGCCTCACTTATGTTACTCGTTTGGAAAAGGCTGATACTGAATGCCCATTTTTCAAACTCTAAAATACAAACTATACAAACATTAGGCAACTGATTTCAAGATATGTGAGAGAGGCAAATCACAACAGCCACCAATAAACTGCCAAAATCAGGGGGCCTTTCTCACAGGGCCTTTGCATAGAATTTGAAGTTTGTTTGGGGTAAAAGAAGGCACAGAGCCTAAAAATAAGAGAAAGCAAGATGGGTTCTAGGTGAGTAGAGAGGTTTACAAAATATAAAACCATTATCCAAAAACCTTATCAAGTCTGCAGTAGGGAAATCTGATGAAGGCTTCAGCATGAAGAGGTGAGTTTGGAAGAAGAGCAGCTGTGGTTGAGCACCCTAAAACACACAAGACCAGCCCTGGAGAGCCACGTGGCTTGCAAATGTTATGTCTGCAGGGAGGACATGGAAGTCCCCTGCCTTGTCCCCTCTTTCAGAATGCAAACTTTATTAAATGCTCTACCAGTAAGCAAGCCATGAGGCACTTAGGAAAAACACCTGGATATAAACAAACCCCTTAAACATGTCTTTAAATATACTACTATTTTAATAGTCTAATGAAGCCTCAAAAAGGGCATTAGAAGACAATTACACTGCCAGTGTTCCCTGCCATGGGAGGCAGAAGTGATGAAGGATCTGTTTCTTTACACGCTTTTATGTGCAACTGTGCAGCTGGGAGTCAGGTTGTGCAGAGGAAAGTTCATTTCAACTCGTAAAGAACAAGAGGAATATCACACAATTAATGCATCCTGAGGAACTAATACATCCTGAATTAATTTCAAAATAATGTATTTTATGATGAAATGACGACAGGAATTACCATAATTTTGATGACAGGAATTGCCCACGGCAGGGAGGTTGGGTTAGGTGATCTCTAGGGTCCCTTCCAACCTAAGCTTTTCTATGATTAAAATCTGAAATTCTAGAAGGCATCAAAAGAAAATTTGAGCAAGTGCTTGAATTTCAGCTATAAAATACACAACTGCATATTCTACAGAAAGCAGTTCCTGGGCATTTTTAGTACTAAAGGTTTTTTTTAGCTTTTTTCTTCTGTATGATTTGTACAGCAGTCAAAAATCACGTGAAGGGAAACTAACAGTTGACCAAAGGAAAATGGACCTCTAACAGGAAGACAGAAGAAAAGTAAACTGGAGAGAGTTCAGAGATCTTTCAACATTATTAGGTGAGAGGAAATGCTAGAGAGATGCTCTGATGAGGTGTCCTCCCTTCACATTTCCTCTGTTTCTCCAAACATGTGTAGGTGCAACAGTTATGTAGCATCTTTGCCTGTCAGGTACCCTGACAGCTGTGTGCACAGCTGGCTGGCTTCCAAAGTGTGGGAGGGAGCCACCCCCTTATCTCTGACCTTCGACTGCTCTCTGCTTTCTATCGTGCCTCCTGCTGGCAGAATGATGATTATTTGAGCTGTTCCTTTTTTGCCCAAATCATTATGTTTTCTTTCAAGCTATGGCACCAGTCTCTTCCTTAGGTTGGCTGATCATCTCTATGTGGACTGCACCAGCAATAATATTTTATATAATGCAATGTTTGGGAAACAGGGATGCCACTTACCCCATGAAATCAATTCTGGGAAGGACTGAAGGCTCACCTTAAGCACTATCAGTGTCTCCATCCATCAGTAGGAGATATTGAGGCAATGAGCATAAGGACCAATTAGCCCAGAAAAATCCTTTCCATTCCTTTAGCAACATTGCTTTCAGTAATGTAAGTGCATCACTGGAGCATTCATCTTCATAGCACATCTACAAGGCAGGGAAGCAGTACTACAGCTACTTACAATTCTAACAGAAAAACCAAATTATTTCCCTGATGTTATAGTAGAAAAAATACAGTAAGAGATAGATTCATGCCTGATTATTTCAACACCCAGATTTAGTTAACAGGCTAGTTTTGAACAGTATCTCCACTGAGTAAACGAGATTCATAGAAATTCAATTATTTGAGCCACTTAGTCAACTAGCTCCTGCTGCCACATTCTCTTGTTTTCTGCCTTCTTGGTTGAAGAACTTAGAAAAATGGCTTTTCTACAGCACATGGTGAATTGGTTGAAAAAATGTCTTTTAAGATGAAAAGAAGCAATTGGTTGAGCATGCCTGGGAGGAATGTCCAGGGTACTTACTTTCCTCAAAGGGAATCAATGAAGTGTCACTTGAAACTAATCATACTTCAGCAGGTATATTTCTGTACATGGTTATGACATGATGCAATATTTTTTGCTTCCCACCTGACTCTAGACTCCTTCAGAGATGGGGTGCATGATGCTAAGTACATGCTAAATACCTGGGCTCCTCAAAAGCAAAATTTTATCAGAACAGAAATTCTTTCACTGACTTCCCCTCAGAAAGATGAAGATCTGCTTTCCTCCACAGTAAAAC